CAAGTCATTGTTCATAACTGGGCGGGAGGGAGGGGGGCAACCACTCATCAGTGACCACCTGAAGTCTCCACAGAGTGATCCCACCACCCCTACAATGTACCTATGCATTCTGGGTTTTGAACTCAGATATTTAGTATTATCTGTAACACGCAGTTTTGCCTACGCATTTCTTCTTCTTGTTGCACTGGTCCCTGTGGTTATAACCGCTCGGTTTACTAGTCAGGTAACAAAAAGCCATCAAACACTCCCCATGGATAATTCGCTTTAGCAGGCTCAGTGGCAGCATGGAGAGGCCGTGGTAGCAGCCTGGCCTTCAGGAACCACATAGTCCACTGGACAGGCAAGACATGAGAGAGAGAAGGCAGTTGCTAGGAGCATGCCTGCCTCTCAATTCCTGCCCCCAGGGACTGCTGCTAAATCTCCCCTCTTCAGGGTGGGCCCCTCTCCTCACAGGGAGCAGACACTATCACCGCTTCCTTTCAGATGATCACCTACCTGTGGCATCACCTTCCCACCTGGGCCACTCAATGCCATCTGCTCCCCTGACTTATCTCCTTGGCTCTCCCTGACACAGGAGCTCTCCTGACGGGGCCCCCAGCATAGTAGAACATGGGCAGTCATCAACGGCATCCCTGCCACCCACTCTTTAGCCTTCTGCTATGTATCTGGTCTCCTGATCTCCTGTCCAGCCCTGCCCTCTACTTCACCAGGCCCCCTGGCTCCAGGCCTCTGGCCCAGCTGATCCCTGCATCCACCCGCACCCGCACCCCCTGCCTTTCTTCCAAGGCCAGGTCTCCTGCCTCTGCTCCACAGCCCACTCAGCGCTCTCTGCTGATGCCACTTCTGACTGCAGGCTCCCTGAGGGCAAGGTCCAAGTCTTCAGCCTCAGCTGGCATCTAACACAGGACTCATGGGTGAGTCTGTAAGGATTTGCCTTGTAAATGCAGCATTTACCAGTGGATGTAGTCACTCCATTTCTAGTCTCAGTAGCCTCATCTATAAAGTAGATTCAATCTTTGAGGTCCTCTTTAGCTCTTAAGATCATTAGACCCCACGTTAGAGAAAAAGACTGATTTCTTTTTTCAGCTGATTCTTAAGCAAATTTATCCCAGTATGATATTGAAAACCAGTCACTGACTTAGAAATCTGAGTTAAATTTGCTATCATTTTAGCGTTTCTGTTGAGCTGCAGGTTCTCATAACATAGCATTTGTTTTTAGTTTTTATGAAATATTCATTAGCACCATTTTTTTT